TGCAAAAATGGTAAAAACAGTAAATTGCAATGGTGAGGAGAAAATTTTAAAAACCCTACAGAATTCACGGAGTTCAGTAAATTTTATTTGTGATCTGTGTGCTTACCCCATTGTTAAAAAGTGATTACTAATATTCCTGCATAAGCAGTAAGCTGAGCCTTTGGCTTAGTTCTCAAAAATTAAGGGAAATGGCACCAAATATGCTTTCTTGTGCTTTTTAGCTTAGAAGAAAAAGAAGAAAAAGACACTCATGGCCAGTGGGTCCAGTGGAAAATGATAATGACTTTGCCATGTTCCATTTAAAAAAAGTAATATCACTGAGCTTGAATTAAGCCTTTGCCTTCTGCCCAAATTTTGAGGCTTCCTTCTTTTGAAAGAAACAAATATACACTTCATGTAGAAGATCAAGGCAGTGGCATAAGACAGGAGCTGCTAGAAAGATCAACACAAAGCTGTGTCAAGCTAAAGAAAGCTTTTCTTTCATACTCAAAAGAATGGATAAAAACTACAACACCTGAGGTTATGGAAGAGAAGGGGGAAGAGATTCCCCTTCCCTCAAATCAAACTACAGCACCAAAGTAAGCATTAAGCACAATCAAAAATGGGGGGGACTTCATGCTTCAACCAAGGAGTGCTTCCTAGACTGCCAAACCCTGAAATAAGGAGGTAGAAAAGTAGGAGCCTGTCAGTTGTGGCTCCTTTTGTATTGTGATTGCTGTCTGCAGCAAGTGTATCAAGCAGGATTTGTGGTGTGGGTGATGGCTTAAGAGGGAAGAGATTAATATTTTATACAGCAGAAGTATCATGAAGCTGTTCCAAAGTATGGACAAAGCATGCAAACAAAAATGCAACCGTGGCCACTGTCAGAATCTATTTAAAAATCTATTTAAGAGCTGAATTTGTACCCACTGAATAGTGTCAGAGAATGCAGTGGCATTATTCTCAGACTAAGACAAAGAGTATATGATTCTAGTTGTAAAATTAATAGCTGTGTTTACAAGGTCTTTAAGATGCTGCCTATTTTTACTCAGTGAATCATTGCCCTTCTTTACAAAGTCTATTTCATTAATCTTAGCAATGCACTCAAATCTCAGTGGAGTTGCTCTGCTTACATACCAAATCTGACATTCTAAGTCTAAACTATTTGTCACAGTATTCAACTTTAATAAAATCTGTATTTATTGGAAGATACCGTTTCCTCACATTCTCTTAAATCAAAACAACTGATTCCTGTCAAGCTATTTCTCTCCCTCTTCCCCCTCCCTAGAGGAAAACAGTAAGATTTATAAAAAGCAAAATTCACTCCTGTGCAAAAATTTTGCAACCCTAAAACAGCTTCATTCTCCAGCTGAACATCATCTACTAAGATCAAATGAAACTTCATCTGCAATGAGATATTAGAGGAGTTAATACATCACTTGTTTGTGTTTTTTTAAACAAAGTCATTGTGATTTTCAATCAGCCCAGATGAAAAGATAACAGTAATAGTGCACATCTATGTTAGCAAAGCATCTGCAAATCTCATCACTTTTTTAATGAAACAAGCAAAACCTCCTTAAAAAACAGTTTTCCCACAATTATCTGCTGGAATTAGGCATCAGGCCCTCTAACTACTTACACAAAATGTGATTTTTTTTTAAAAAAAAAAAGAAGGCAAGAGCCAGGAATGTGAAGCATTTACTTTCACTGATGAGCAACTGCTCAGATTGCCTCCGTCAGCAAATTGTTCGCCTTATGGGACTATTCACGTCTGAAACGTATTACCTGCTTCAGTGTTTATAAAATGGCATCTTCAGCTGGCACCTGCACTGGCAGGTTCCCACAGGCAGCATTTCTACATTCCCCCTTTCAAGATGTGCTGCTGCATCCCAAGATCTGAGTGATTACAGCGAGCACAGAGACGAACAAAGGGCAGAGGTCAAAGCCTTGCTGCCTGCCCTCCTTGATATCTGGCCTTAGAGACATGCCAGACCTCTCACATTTACCTCTTCCCTGCACAGAATGCACATTTTAACAGAGATTAATATCCAGTAGTTAACTCCCTATTTTAATTCCTTCTCAGCTCATTGTATCTAAAAGCTGAAAAATATTTTTTTTTAAAAAATCACTAAGTATTTTTTTAAATTTAGGCCAGGGACTCTGAACAAAAGCATGCTCTGTCCTCACCTTGTAAAATATTTCTGGGCTTCTAAACAAGCTTCATGCTTTCACACAGCTGGTAAACGTTTGCTTAAAAATATATTCCAACAATCCCTTTGAAAAAGATTTGTAACATATAGACTTGAGCTTCATCTTGGAAGCATCATTTCCACAGCACACCCCTAACTTTTAAAAAGCTTCCTTCTGCTTACTTCACTCTTTGTAATTACCAGTTTGTTTATATCAACCACCACACGAAGGTCTTGGAGAGGTCACTCAATAAATAATAAATTTCCCTATCTGCTTTCCCAACTATGCTGACGGAGCCAGAGTTTACTTCCTTCACTTGCCTCCATGAAAAATCCCAGTCTGGTGGTATTATCCAAGCCATAAGCTGCTAATAAGCAAGGATAAATTATTAGCAACCTGAAATGCTGGCAAGGTTAAACATTAACTTGTTGTGCATTACTTTTAGGCAAGCTCTGTGCAGTGCAGGCTCCTACCTGTGCCACAGCCCCAGCCCTTCGTGGCCTCTGGTATTTATGATACACAGAAAAGAGAGATGTGTTCCCCATGAGAGCTGGAGGCAAACAGCATCCCAAAAAAGGAAGAGAAAACAATATGCTGAATCCATCAAAGATTGTTACTTCATAGACTTTTCACAGCCAAATAAACATTCTGCAGCTGGAAGTCTGCATGAGCCAGAATAACAAATGTCCCGAGACCTGCTAGAGATTTTGGATTAGGCTGTCTGATGAAAGAGGTTGATCCTGTGCATGCATGCATGGACAGAGGCAAATATTTAGTGTACAGGTCTTGAAGAATAATTACCTGAAAACACCTTTTTTTTTTTTTTTTTTTTTTTGTTCCTATGACTGGCAGGATTTGGGGATGGAGGCAGATTTGGGTTCATTTTTCAGTGTGTGGTGGCCAATGCACCACTGGCAGGTATCACACTCCTCTGGGGCATTAGGAGTGATCACTGAGCTTACAGCAGCCTCAGAGATTTGATGGGTACATTTTAGAGGGCTCATTTTGAGAGTGTTCACCTGGGACCTTGTCCCTCAGCCCTTGGTGCAACCCTCACTTCTTTGCCAACCTTCAGTTGTCTCAGGAACGGCTCCTTCAAACACTGCCATCAGCTGGCAAATTCCTACATTTCTCATTCCCTTTTCCTCCCCACCTCTGGAAGAAGTTGGCTGTACTCACAGCTGCCTGGGCAGGTGGATTTTGACACTTTTGAACAGTGATTTTCTTGGCAGTGACCTTCCCCAACCATTGTTAAGAAACTGAACTGTTTCTGGAGAGGGGACCCTGCTGTGAGTCGGTAGCAGTTGACAAGATGGAAAATCAGGGATAAGAATCTGACAGTGGAGCACAGGGTGCCACAGAGATCTACAAAAGGACTTGGACTATTCAGTGTATTTATAAATGGTCTAGAAAAGAGATAAATAAACAAGATGGCATCTGCTGCCAAGAGAAATTTCTTCAGGACAGTGGTAACAAAAACAGGCTGTGAAGAGTTGCAGGAGTATTTTGCAGTACTAAATCACTTAAAAATTAGGAGAATAAAAGAAAGCTATATTCTGTGTCAGCACAGTATTGCTCATGAAGGAAAACAACTCTTGCTATATCCACCAAACAATGGGCTCCAAATTAAACGTTGCAGCTCAGGAGATAAATTTCTGAGGTCACCATCAATAGGCCTAGTAATGAATACTTGTGGCAGTGGGAAAAAAAATGCAAACAAACATCAAGTTAAAATGGTGACAAGAAGAAAGTACAAAGTAGTCAGCAGCACTGCACCATTGCCCACAGTGCACACCAGTGCCAGGTGGTTCTGGTCACCCCATTCGAAAAAGGACACAGAATTTAAAAATGCAAAGGGACAGAGATGACAGATTGGACCTTTCAGCCTGGAGATACACTGTTTATTAGAGGACATAAAAGGTTATAAAATCATGGATGTTCCAATATAAATCGCAGAAGCAAGGAAATCCACATGTTAAAACAAAAGTAAAAACCAAACCAACACAACAAAAACCCAGAAATATTTGATTGATTTGTGGATAATTCCCTTTCTTCCCCCTCCAAGACACTTCCACATCTTCACAGTGACTGCTGCCAAAACATAAGTCATACATTGACCAAGTCCCTCACGAAGGACACGTGTGGGGAAGCTTGCATGTTTTTGTTACACGATGGAACTCATCGCCACAGAAAGCTGCTCAGGCCAAAAGCAGAAATGTGATCCAAAAGATAGATTAAATAAATTCACAAAGGATAGATCCCTCTGTTTAGTCCCACAGGGTAAAGCCACCTTCTGTTCAGTAAGACCCTCGAATGGGAGGCTGAAAAATCCAGCCTGAGGAAGGACTGGGATATCCACGCCTTTCCACAGGCACCTGCTGCTATTCAGTGTCCATCCCTGACATGTGACAAGAATTTCAAACTTCAAATGCTTTTCTGTTCTGTCACCAGCTCTCCAAACCAGAGTGCTAAACTTCTGTGGGTTTTTTTTTTCATTCCTGAACCATTCCTGTCTCTCATCCAGCAAAGAGTGAAAGGAGATGCACACTAAACACACCAGGCTTCCAGGACAGGTGTATGGTAACCCTGAGAAAACCTTACATCATATGTAAATCATCTGGATAGTTCTTCCCAAAACTCTGCTGCTGAAATAAACAAAGCACAAACTTTCCCAGATGTGTGCTTCATGAGGAATTCTCACTCAACTCATGATTTAAAACTTGGCATCCTCAGAAAACACAAAACCAGGATTCAAGGATGGAATGTAGATGTGGAATTGCTAAGGAGGGAGACAGAAAGGGTTTATTCATAGATTAGCCCAAATTCCTGTATTTTTTTTCACAGCTTCCAAATGTTGCAATGGGCAACTATCCTTCCTCTCATAGTAAGATTAAGGATGAGTGTCCAGATTCCCTTAATTTTCCATAACTGATAGCCAAGTAAAATTTCCTCTGCTAAACTTGCAGGCTGAGCAGTTGCATTTTTGTGCAACAAAAAAGGAGAAGTAGGTTGTTCCACTGATTTCTGCAGGAGAAAAGTTTGCTGTGCAAGTAGGAAGATCACCAGCACGAAAAGCAACCCTATTGATTTCCAGAGTGCTTTTCACTAAAACCTCTCCTCCTTCATAGAGACCCAGAGCACTGGAAAATAAAGAAACCACATCTGTAACAACCAAAACTGGAGAAGATGTAAGAGAGAACATTGGATAAAAGTGATTACTTCATCCCCAGGAAGAAACAAAATCTAACTTAAGAGAGAAGAGGAAGATGAAATCAGCAGAAAGCTAAGGACAAGCATTAAACACCGCCAGTATGAATGAATGTATTCCTACATATATCTATATCTTCCACAGATATTTTGGCAACCTTGGCTAAATGATGATTTAGCCTGGCATCCATTCTTTCCAACTCATCTGCTTGTTAAAGGTGTCAGTTCCCTTGCACTGCCTACAGGAATATTTTGACGGAAGTGTCACGGAGGACTCACTGGTGCTGTTTTCACTTGGCATCGACATCTTCCCTTTGCTTCTGAATCTCCTCTTCTTCCAGCTGCATTTCTCTCCTTTTTTAACCTTTTTTTTTTTCCCCCACAAGATGAGATCCTCCATTAGTGGCTCCTGCAGATGCTGCCAAGCGAACACCACTGTAATGTTACAGAATTTATCCATTCTCCTGGCAGGTAGGCCCTTTCCTGGGACACACAAGATAAAATTGAGGGAGAGCTCTGAGGCAGGCAGAGTCTAAAGCTTTCCTTGTAAAATAAAGACTTCCCATAGAGCCATGAAGATTTTTCATAATGCATGCATGGAGAGGAAAAAAAAAGAACAGTTTCAGTAATTTTAGACAGGAGACTTGTCACACAGACTAAACACTGACCAAAGAGCAACCAAGGATAATAGGAGTGTGTAAATACATAAAGCCTTACATGTGGCTAGGAAACTGACATTTAATCCAAACTAATTAAATGTGTTTTAAACAGTACATCAAAGACTTCTCAGATTCAAAGGTGGTGTTGGAAACAGAGGACAGGGGAAATAAACTAGATAGAGAAATGGGAAGAACAAAATGTGGGAATTTTGGTCTAGAAAAGTTTTGACTACTCCAACAGGGAGAGGAAATAAAATCATCCACATTTATTCACTGGGAGAATGATGCTAGGAAAAAGGGATTGGTTCAGGAGCACTGGGAACCAACAAACAGCATCCAAAAAGTCGTCATTCTCCACACCCATACAAGGTAAAGATTGGCTCTTTGAGTAGTGAAGCAAAGGAGGAATTGTATGAAAAATACGGTAACTTCCAGAACTTGCAACATAACCTCAGCCTACCAGGAAGAGCCAGGCTCATAGTGAAATCATGCATTCAATGGGACCCAAGAGGATACTCAACCAAGGCAAAAAATAGCTGCTCCAGCTTATTAACAGCCTCTCCGGCATCCTGGGGATAACAGGAGCTCCACCAGCAACCTCAGCAGGAGAAACCACTGAGAAATACCCTGGTGAAATACCCCCTGTGTCCTGCCCCTTCCCCAGGGTCTCTCCCCACCACAGAGGCTGCTTGGGCTGGTTTTGAGGTGGGGCAGGGTGAGGAGCAAGGGTGAGGAGCAAGGGTGAGGAGCAGGTTCCTCCCTGCGTGGCCAATCCGCCCCTCGGCACCAGGAACCCACCACTGGGAGGGAGCTCCAGCTCAACTCACAAAATCTCAGCTGGGCCTTCCAAGCTGACAGGCTGGAAGAAGAAACAAATCCTGTAAAACTTGGCAAGACCGTAACTGGCGAGGAACAGAAAGTACCTGGAAAAATGAAAACTGTACAAAAGGGATTGCATGAGTAAAGGAGATGGAAGTAAGGGAAATTTAACCAGAAAAAAAAAAGAAGTCAAGATTTCTTGGGCTCATTTAAAAAAATCTGGAGAGACAGACCCATAAATGGAGTCATTTTTATACCAATATGTTTCATACCTTAAAAAGTACATGGCAGACCAGGGACAAGATGACGTAGTAGGCCTTTCCCAATGGCTTCCAGTAGTTTCCCTTCAGCTCTATCCCTGTGGCCTTACTGCCTGGAACAGCTCTGCTGCAGTGAGAACTGGCTGATCCCTGAGCACAAACAAGCTGCATTTCCAACCAGCAAGCAGAGCCCATGAAGTCCACAGGACTACTCATGCATAGCAAACGCATCCCTAGGTGCTGGAAATGATGGATATAGACATTTTTTAGCCTTGGCTGTACCACCAAAAACTTACCTGTGAATAAAAAATCTCATCCTGGAACACAGACAACCACCCTTCCTTCACTATTTGCATTATTTGCTCCCAGGTCTGAATTGAGGCTCGAGTACCTGTGTGTAATTCTGCTCCTTTCAGCCTGCCCTTCCTCCCTGAATAACTGCTTCTGACAGTTTCTTAACCATATCTGAAAGGACATTATATGAGCTAGAAGCAGCTGAGCCAGTTGAACAGCCTCATCCATCTTCCTCCTCACCTGTGTTTTCTTCCATCCTTTCATTTTTTAACAGGCAACTTGGTGCATCTTTTTTTAATTAAATAAAATACCCATCATCTTTGCAATATTTTCTTTAGCTTGTTTACTTTAATTTTGGTTTCCCTACTTAATCTTTTTCACAAAGCCGTATGCATTTTTAAATCTTCCAAAGAAAATAATTACAAAGATAATCCAGCTGAGTGTAACCAAACTGCAGGGTTCTTTATTTTCATGGCCTTCTAATTTAATTTCACATCCTGTGGTCTTAAAGAAATATTAGGATTATATCATCTTGTTATTGTTTAGATGACATGCCAGTAAAAATAGGGGGTAACCAATTTTTTTCTTCCCCATTGCCACACAAAAAACTCATAGAGCACACAGAATATTTTCAAAATATTGATGCAGGGGAAGATCTCAGATGAGCATGAGTTAGATCCCTAACTCCCAATTTTCTGTCCAGAACCTGTGTTTCTTTGGTTGGATTTTTACTTAAGCACAGTACCTGCTTTGATAAAACAATCTGCTTTGAAAGTTTTCCAGTGCAACAGTATGGATCCTGATGTGATATTGTAGCTTTCCCTGGATCAATACAAACCAGAAGTCATTCACAGAGTAACACTGGCAGAAAAGAGAAGAACCAGTCAGCCGAACAACAAAACCACCACTTGTGTCTCTACCCATGCAGGAGGACCCTGCCCCCATGCTAGCAGTGAGTTCTGAGCTTTGTGGGGATCAGAAGACATCTGCAGTAGGTCTGACTACACAACTGGGGCTTCAGACCCTTGCCTGCAAACATCAAAGTGCTCAGCACACAGGTCTTCATCCTCTGAGCTGGGAAGAGATCATTAGCAGCTCTCAGCTAGCACAGCTCCCTTTCCAGGAAAGGATCTGGAAAGGGAGCTCTTTTTCCAAGAAGTGAGCCAGGATGCAATTGTGGGGTCTTTGTTGTCTGTTTTTTTCCAGGAGTGACACATTGTGCTGTCCACAGGTATAAAGGGAAAAGGAAGCAGTATCAGCCACCAAACAGGTGTAACATACCCCTGGGGCCTAAAGCAGCAAAGTCAGAGCTGCTGAATCCCTCTTAAGCTGTTTCTCCTTCAAAATGGGGCAGCACAAGCCAACCCAAACTCAGTGGGGACGAAGGCATGGGCAGGCAGGGCTCATCTTGGGGCATGACTGTGTTTGAGACTTTCATTCTGGAGCTGTTTATCACAAAGACACGTGGGTTGGTTTGGTCCACGTGCTGCTGCTGTGGTAACACTCAGCAGAACATCACTAAAACCACCTCTTTTGGGTGTTTTTTTACTAAGTTCTCAGAGTATTCTTAACTAATACAAAAAAAGAGTCATAAAGTCATGTCAATGTCTTGTGTAAGGACTGAAAATTCTTTTCTGAGTGGATAATTTCAGCAACACTAAGTTAAAACCTTTTCAGAAAAAGAACATACTGATAACAGAGACAGGCAGTCTCTCTTAGATTTATTATTTTGCACTTGAGGAAAGCAATCCCATGAGATTAATGGAGCAGATGTAAGTAGTTCCACTCAAACCTCCACAGTTAACATTTGTACTAAAATTTTTACTACATAATAGGTTCTCTGTGTTAATAACCTGGCTCACTACTAAATATTTTTTAAATGCCTACAAACCCAACAAGACAGATAGCAATCAGACCATAACAGTTCCACACAACAGCACAGGAAGGAGCATGGTTCTTCTCCAGTGAAAAAGTTTGGATGGAAGAGTTCTTGATTTCTCCAGCATTGCCACATCCCCAGCCCTGCTGCCCATGTCTGCACACTGGAGAACCCCAGAGCGTCCACCAAGGGCACAGCTACAGCTCTACCTTGCTCTGCATCAGCCCTGCTATCAAAAAGTACAAAAAAACAACATAGGAAATATATTTCAAGCCAGTTCTACACATACACATTTGCCCTAAGCCAGGTGTGGCTATAGAACCAATTCCCTTCTCTAAAAAGAAATTTTGAAGTGGTTCAGACCTACACAGTCTTTTCAGACAGGCCTGAAAAATCCTCTTTCCTGAATTTCCTTGATTAAAATATAATCAGATAATCTTGACTCTTCTGGGTACTCTTTTTTCCCCCTGAAAGAAATGGTTCCAGGAAACTATTTTTTTTAAAACTACTGCTTAAAAGCACCCTGTTGCATCTGGAGCAATGGCTGACTCCATTCTTGAAATACTTTGTTTGAAAGCCATTACAGTGGTGAGCTTCTCTTGAACTCTAAAAAAGAAAACTAAACTGAGACACCACATGGAAGTTTCCTCTGCTTCCAATGTTTTCCATACAAAACATTTTGGGTTTACGTCAAGGGATGGGGGACAGGACCTTAGATTCTGCATTCAGTGCACTGCATAATGAAGTTGCAATAACCATATTCTCCATAGTGTTTTGGCTGTCACTATAGCCACCTCCTTTCCTTCAAAATATGCTTTTCATTGTTCTCCTGCCCTTTTTCCAAGTGCTCTGCAGCCAAGTTCTTGGAAAGCAATCACGCTTCATGTTTAGGATTTATTGCTAGTCTTTTGCCAGTACGGACACACACAAATCTCTCCTGTGATCATCCTGCAAAAGAAAGCTAAAAATACAGCAATTTATGAACAGGCACATTTTGCATGTTATATGGCATCAGTGTGCACTCATCAAAAAATTCTGAGAGTGTAAAAGGTCACTCCTTTTGTCTAGGCCAATAGAAGGCTCTCCTTGGGTGCCATAAATAAGCTTATTTTAGAATTTCAGCCTACCTAAAAAGGGAAAAAAGCCTTTCCATTGTGTTTCAGTGGTCGAAGATTTTCTTTTTTTCCTTTTACATGGTAAACTTTGTGCTTTAGAAACTCTAGGTTTGACAAAAAAACACAGTTCATCTTCCAAAGTGGCTACTTTAAAGCTAATGACTAAATTAGACATCACAGCTATCATTAAAACTTCAAAGCAGTGAGAATTGTCTGGTTGTTTGTACAAAATTTTAAAGAATTTTGCAATCTCGGAGTCAAGTTGCATTTCTGTTTTGAAATGTGTTTCAGGTTGTCTGAGGAAGCTCATGCCCACAGAAGCAGCAGGAAACATCAGGGAAGGCTGATCTTACGGCTAGGAAAGAACAGCTCATGAGGAAGGGTGTTCAGGTAATCACCATGCCTTGGTCATGCTTCTCACACCATTGTTTATTTTGCACATAAACACTGTAGTTTAATTATCAGTGTATTAAAAAACTTCTCTTTGATCAATTATCTCTCAAAAAACTTGTCTTTTATCAGCTTACTGCTTTTGGCAGGCAAGGGTAGATTCAAGACTCTGGATACAAGCTAAATCTTCTCTGGATTAGGACTGTTGAAGTTCCTCTGAGACCTCAGCAGATTCAGTTCTTGGTCTCTCCTGGCTCTGTTTCTGATGATGCCCTCTGCCAAACAAACTGGGAAGGTGAACTGGGACTCACTGCCCAGCCTGGGCTCGTTGCTGGCAGCGTGGTGGATCTGCAGTGCTTGTGGTTGGGTGGTTCTGTGCCTCAGACACCGCTGCTGAGACTCGGGAACAAGAGGCTGATGAAAAGAAAAGTCAGTGAAATGGCTTCCCACTGCCAGAGGGCAGGGATAGATGGGATACTGGGGAGGAATTGTGCCCTGGGAGGGTGGGCAGGCCCTGGCACAGAGTGCCCAGAGCAGCTGGGGCTGCTCCTGGAAGTGTCCAAGGCCAGGATGGGGCTTGGAGCAGCCTGGGATGGTGGAATACATCCCTGACCATGGCAGGGGTGGCACTGAGTGATCCCAACCATTCTATGATGCCTTGAAGATCCAGATAAATGTTCTGCCACCTCACAGTCTGGGGCTCTTACTCAACCCAAAATGACTGCAATTGTTATTGTTTTGATTTTCTTTTTATGACTCTCATCTTTCTTGTCTTCCCTTCTCAGCTTATTCTTCTCCCCAGGCAATACTAGATAGTTCCCAAATACCTATTTGGTTCCTATAATTAAACCAGATGCATTTTCTATTCAGTCTGAAAAGGGATTAGCGATTTGTGAAATGGAACTTTGCATTCAAGAAATGAGAAATTATAGTTGAGGAAACAGCATAAATTTACTCCTAATAAATAATGAATGGACTTTCAAATGCAGTAAATCTCCATTCTAACATGTTCAAACTGACAGACTTCTGAGTATAACAAGTAACTTACATGTAATTTTGTGTCAAAACCTTCATATTCTGCAAAAATACTAAAATTTCCTGAAATTTATTCCTTGCTCGAAATTATTCACTGAAATGCATTTTTGTATGTGAACCACATTTACTCTTTTTGTTGCTCTAATAAGATTACTCATGTTTCACATGGCATCAGTTAATTCTGGGTGTGCTTCTCATTGTGATCATTAGGATTTAAGTGCAAGTATTTGTGTAGCAGTTATAAAACTTGCCCCCTGGTATTTCAGCTAAAAAGATCACTTTACACCAGGGGTGAAGGAACTTAGACAAGGGACCACAGGGGAAAAAAAAAAAAGGAAAAAAAAAAAAAAAAGCTACCAAGGCCAGAGCAAAGGAGTTGCAAAATTTAAACCAATATTTGCTATAAAACATTTGTGGTGGCCACTCAGCCTGACTTCTGACTACTTCAAATGTCCTCACTGCTGGATTTCACACTGCAGCTCTACCTAAACCTCTCTGACATTCCCTTTGCTACTGAGAGTAGGTCTGTGTTCCCCTTGCAATTCTGACAAAACTTCTGCCTTTACTAACATTTGCAGAGTGGATCCCATCACTTTTCTCCTCCTAACATTAAGGACCACATTGCAGGCACCAACCAGCATGTGATTGAGCTAATACAGCTTTTAATTTTGACTTCACAAGTGGAAACACACAGGCACTTATTACTTGGCTTAGGCTACACATTCACCCATCTAAATCTGTTGATGGAGTCTGCAGGACCTGCAACAAACTTATTTTTAGGTACCATAATCTTTGATA